AAGTCCATGAGACCCTTATCGCCAAATAACTAGCAAAAAAAAAAAGCCAGATATAGAGCTGTTGCACAGAGGTAGAGTGCTAGTTTTGAGGCTCCAAACCTCATGGACAGCACCCAGGCTCTGAGTTCAAGCCCCAGGGCCAGCATTAAAAAAAAGAGAGAGAGAAAGAAAGAGAAAAATTGAGAGGGAGTAAAGAAAGGTGTGACATTGTCCAAAAAGAAATGGACTCATGACCTGATTTATATAACTGTCTCCCTTCTGCACATCACAAGAAAAAATAAACATTAAAAAAGAACTAAAAACTTTCATACACTTTGGTAGAATCAAAATTTAAAATCTTTTCACATTGAGCTTTAGTTGATTTCACAGACATTTGAAACTGGTGACTTTTTAAGTTACTGAGTTGTCTTTAGGCATACAAATCATAAGCAGCTCAAACCCTGGGACTAAAATGGACTCTTTGGGGCAAAGCTATTGTGATAACATGGACAGAATCATAGAAACAGCAAATTAAATGCTGTTGGCAAAGAAATAGCTGTGTCCCATCAGTTTCTCTTAAAGTTACTAGTTGGGGGGAAAATAGAATCACTTAGCTGCACTTTCTTTCCTTTCGAAGGGAAGTATTCACCACCTTTCACATAGCCCATACGTTACCTGTAAGTTAGAACGATCCATGCTTCTAGACTTGCAAATAGCATTGCATCCAAAAATGGTGGTCACATTGATGTCTTCCCACAGAGGATCAAATGTAAGGAATGATTGAAAACTAGCCTCTGTAATAAAAGTAAATCCCCTGAAACAAAGTAGCTGCTACAATTCCACCCCTGCCTCCCATATTTACTGCCCCTATTTTCTGGTAATTCTGTATCATAGCTGTCACTGACCCAATTAACAGAGAACAGAAGTTCTATAGTAATAAAAGGCTTTGTCTTGCACCAGTGGCCTACCTAAATGTTAATGGGTATCAGAATTAGACAAAGCTCTACTAAGGCCCATTCTTCACATGAGAGTTGTTGGCTTACTAGGTCAGGGCTGAAATGCTTGCATTTCTTATAGAGGATCACTGGTGTAAACCATATAACTCAGAAGCAGCAGATCTTAGATTAAAACTCAAGTCTGCTAGATTCTAACATGCATGCTGATATAACAGAAAAGGTACCTACAATGCCTGTAATTGCTCCGTCTCTCTGAACCCCTTCCCCCCTACCTCTTATGCTATTCAAGGCTTTGCACTTGCTGGGGAGGTGCTCTGTCATTGAGTCACTCCACCATCCTGTTTTGTGTTGGTGGTTTTTGAGATATGGTCTCACTTTGTGCCTGGACTGTGATCCTCTTATTTGGGCTTCCTGTGTCATTGGGATGGCACGCATAGACCAGGACAGTCAGCAATGGATCCCAATGGAAGATGGTCACTCAAGCACATGTTTTTGCCCAGACTGGCCTTGAATAATGATTCTCTGATCTCTACCTCTCAAGTAGCTAGACTTACAGGCTCCACTCGCCACACCAGGCACTCAGAACATTTTGTAGTTTGATGGCAAGTGAAAGAGGAATGGATGTTGTGTTGAGGCCTTGGAGTATGGGTTCCTTTGTCTGTCATTTACTGCACTATCATTTAAGTTACCCAATCCTTGACATTTCTAGTGATGTAGTAAGATTTCTACTACTTAGACTAACAATTCTCCCAGAGTGGTTTTGAAGATAAAAATGTGTCAATCAGCGTAAGAAAAAAATGTCCCATGCTCCACAAATGTGGCTTGTTCCTTTCACTAGAAATCAAAACAAGATGAACAAACCAAGAAAAAGACAAAAATATGCCAGTGAGCAGTCTGATCTTTAGTTTACGCACTGCAACTACGTAAAAGGAAATGTTGAATATTAACAAAGAAGTTTATTAGAACCTTCAGGAACGCAGTCATCTCTAAGATGAACATGCTAATGGTTTTCAGGGTAGAGAAACTACAAATCATTTTGTTCCCAATACTGTTTTCCCTCAACTTAAACAAAGTAAACATCCTATTTTTTTTCCAATAGGACTTTCTTTCATGTGAGCAATTTTAACTCTAATTAAAAATCATTTGAATATAATTGGTCTGGGGGGGTCAGTAAAATAGTAATTATGGGGCTGGGAAGGTGGCTCAGTGGTAGAATGCTTACCTCATATGCATGAGGCCCTGGGTTTGATTCCTCAGCATCACATAAGCAGAAAAAGTAGGAAGTGGCACTGTAGCTTAACTGGTAGAGTGCTAGCCTTGAGCTGAAGAGCTCAGGGACAGTGCCCAGGCCTAGAGTTCAGGCCCTATGACCAACAAATAAATAAATTAAATATATATATATAGTATGTGTGTGTATATATATATATATATATATACACATATATATACATGGTAATGGTTTACCTTTTTAATCCCAGTACTTTTCTATCCTTTAGAACATACTAAACCTATTTTAAAAAGGTGATCCTTTTAGCTGGGTGTAGTGGTACATGCCTATAATTCTAGCCTTTAGGAGGTGGAAAGCATAGGATGTTCAATTCAAAGCTAACTTGGTCTATATAACAAAATACCATGTCTGAACAAAGACGGGAAGAGCCTAGGACCTGGACACATTGTTGCACACCTGAAATTCCAGCTGTTGGGAGGCAGAAATGGGAAGTGTGGTTTAGCAACCACAATCCAAGCAACAAAATTAGCAAGACCTGTGGACTAACCAAGTATGGTAGAAAGTACCTGTACAAGACACAAGTAGGAGAATAACAGTCAGAAGCTGGTCCTGAGCATGAGGTATCACAACCTATTCAAATAATACAGGAGAAAGAAGGACAGAAGCATGGCATAGTACATGGATGACAAGGGTAAGACCCTGAGTTCAAACCCCAGGACCACAGAAAACAAGCAAACAAAAGCAAGCAAGTGGAAAACACCAATCAAACCAAAAAGCTGGAGATGCAGCTCAGGGGAAATGTACTTGTTTAGCATGTACATGGGCCTGAGTTTGATCCCAAGCATGGCTGACTGCAAGTTTCTATCTGATAGTCATTCATAAAATAAAAATTTAATGTCACTGATAACATCTTCTGAGATAATGAAGTACGTGCTGTTCAATGAATGATGTACACAATACATTGGTGGGTGATTTCATTCTGCAATTACCTTCCATTAACTGTTTCCAATAGAAAAGCAAAATCTAAGCTGGCCCCATAGCCTCATGAAAAAAAGTCTCATAGTAAACAATTCCATACCAAGAGCATCAATGTCTAATGCATAAGTCGTTTAAGATTTGATATTTAAGGCAATAGATTGTTACCGGCTAATAGGATTATATTTTTTAAAACCCAACTCTTTTTTTTCCCATCAATGAAATGCTGCTTTCCTTCCATCTGACATTACGCTAGCTCGGTGAAGTAAGAGTGCTGTGAATTTGTGCTCTGACAATTCTATTCCTGTTTTGTTAGATTTTGATGAAAAAAAAATGAGAAATCCCTCGGGCACATCTGAAGTTCCACCCTTTAAATAAAGCAGGGCTAGCTGGTTTTTCCATTTCTGATCTGCTTGTTTAAATATAAGGCATTCTTAAAATGTCTCTGGTAGAGGAAGAACAATTTAATTTTGATGTGCAAAATAGAATCCTTTCATTTAAATAATAGCCAGAAGCTTATAGCAAACCTGGGACAAAAAATTAAACAAGAAACTTGATTCTCTCTCATCTTCTCAGTGGCTAGATGCTTTAGGATCCCATTATGAGGTATGTACAAAGTGGTGTTTCTCTCTCTCTCTCTCTCTCTCTCTGTGTCTATGTGTGTTGCTTAGTATCCTTAATTATGACAGAATACAGGTATAAGGGGAAATGAATTTCTTTCCATGGCAGCATAGATTAGTGGTTAATAACACATTCTATGGAGAAACACTGGACAAATACAGTTATATCACTTACTATACCAGATATATGCTATTTGAAACATGCATGGTCTCTCTGTGTGCGTTTCCTTATGTTTAAAGATTGAGTTTTCTGGGCTCTGGTGGCTCATGCCTGTAATCCTAGCTACTTAGGAGGTTGAGATATGAGAATCCAGTTCGAAGCCAGCCTAGGCAGGAAAGTCTGTGAAACTCTCAGCTCTAGTTAACAACCAGAAAACTGAAAGTGGAGCTGTAGCTCAAAATGGTAGAGTGCTAGCTTTGAAAAAAAAGGTCAGGGACAGACCTGAGTTCAAGCTCCATGACCTACAAAAAACAAACAATTTGAATTTGACATGAGAATTAAAGAATTAATATGTGTGGATATATGTAAGTGTGTGTGTGTGTGTGTGTATTTGACAATGCCAAACCTTAACCTAGATCTTGAATTTGCTATTCAATTGCTGTACTACTTGAACCACGCCCCAGTTCCCTTAATTTTGTTGTGTTTATATATATATATACATATATATATATATATATATATATATATATATGATTATGTGATTTCTGACCTAGGACTATGATCTTGTCTTTGCCTCTCACATAGCCGACGTTACAAGCACACACCACCACACCTGGCCTTAGAATTCATAGTTGAAAGCACTAAGAATGATACACAACATTGTCTATCACTTTGTGAAATGAAAGGCACTCAAAACTAAAAGGAAGATATAATTTCTGTTGTGAAGTATCACCCATGCCTTGGTAAGCGAAGCTTTATGGTTCTTTTGGCATCTCATATTATTTATCAAAGACTCAGAGATATCTTCTTTTCATGACTCAGGTAACAAAATTCTTGGAAGATGGAGGCACACTATTCAAGAAAATGTTAAGGGCAATTATTATGACACTTCACATAGTATCAGGAGAACATGGCTTTCAGGAAATTTACAAAATCCACCCACATGAAGGGAAGAGAATTGAGGCAGAAGATGAAGGTAAATAATTGATCAAACATGAACTAATAAAAAACAGATGAAAAAAACTTGATAGAAGATAAAAGTTTGATAGCGAGTCATTTTCCTCACATGGATTTGGTCTGACCTTTTGAGGATCTGTTCCCTATTCCTTCAGTTATTAATGATCAAATAACATTGTTGCTCTCTCTCTTCAGTATACCTCTGTGGATGTTTCTCAGCTTCAATGAGGGATAAGTTATTGGAAACCAGGACAAATATTATCTCAGCAAAAGTGTATGGGGCTTTGGAAAATTGGACTTCATTCCATGAAGGATCTTCCATCTAGTAAGCTGGTGCCTGTAGCTGCTATCCATTCAGCACCACCATTTTACTATGAGAAAAACATAAAATGCCAGTGACTCCTACAGAACCCAGACTCACTGCGACTTCTAGAGTCAGTTCACTGCCCCCATGTTTTGCCTTTTTCAGTAGAGGTAGACTACAATGGAGACAACATGGAGCTCCGAAGAACCACACACGTTTGAACACTTTCAGACCTTGCTCACGTGCATTGCTGTCCACGCTCTCCTCCTCGTGAGAGAGGCAAGCACTGTCCTGTACTCACACCCACCAGAATGAAGACTCTGCTACCAAGAAGGACAGTAAGGGTTATAAGAGAATGCACATCCACCAGCTGTCCTCCTCTTAAGTGGGACATGAAACATGAACCAGTTGGGTGGAACCAATTTAGCTAAACTTGGGAGTACCCGCCTCCCAATTCTATCCCCTCCCTAGGTCTGGGGCTAGCCTGAGATCTAGGAGTCATTTTATGTAAGGTGGAAGAGAGCCAATAGTTCTATTTCTCTACATCAGAGAGTGAGGCAGGACATGATTTTCCATGGCAACTCACAAGGGTCAACCCTGGCCTTGTGGTGCTCATGGTTGGTATTGGCAAGTGAGTCCATCGATCCTCAGGGTCTTGCAAGTCTCCTCCTTCAGTGGCTTTAGCTTTAGTTACTCTGTATCAAGCTGGAAGCTCAAAGACTTTCAGAGAACAACACTGAATACCTCTAGCTATATCTCTAGCTATTCCTCACTGATTCTATTTATTTCTAAAGGTGAGTGGTTCGAATTACGTAAGTCAGGGAATGAGTATATCTCTTTTTTTTTTTAACAATGTCACCCTTCCTTCATTTTCTCCCAGTTTTTCCCCTCCTGAACCCCTTCCTCCATGTTGTATAGTTCATTTTCAACATAGCGTCTGGTAAGTAACACTGCTGAACTGTTTCCCCCTTTGTCCTACCATTTCTGTACTTCCCCTTCCCCTCCCCAAATTAGATAAATTTGCATACAAGACCTAGGGTCTTGTATCAAAAACAATGCTAAAATGGGGGACCAGAAGAAAAAAAAAGAGAAAACATCTGCAAACAGTACAATATTAAACCTCTTGTTACCATTTCTTAGAATTCGTTTTGACAAGTATCATTTTATATAATCACATGTACATAGCTATTGAGCCCTGGTGATCCTCTCCTAAGAACATCCTCCTTTTTCTCACTGTGTGAACGTTTAGAGTCTTATTTAATTAATCATATCCAAGTGTAATGTTTGGTCTTTTATTACCCATTGGGTTTAGTTCTAGATTTATAGGCACATTCTAATCATTACAAATGAGGTTAACCTTGCAACTTGTGTTTCTTTGGGTATGGTTCTTCCATTGGTCCTTCCCAGTATCTACCCTAAGGTTCCAGGTTCAAGTATGAGACACAGTAGCAATAGTTCACTAAGGCAGTGTATCCAATTGTGCAACATCAAATATTTTTAATAAGCCATGTGTAAATAAATATATATGCACACACTATGTGTGTGTGCATAAGTAGAGAGCACTTCTCTCTGGCTGTGCATGTAGTTGGGTGATGATCTGTTGAGTTACTTCCTTATGTGTTCTCTTTAGAATCCTGCTTTTCTAATCAAATCTGAACAGATTAAGTCTCTCAACTGTTGGTGGAGGGAATGTCCAAAGGAATGAGCACAAGATCATCCTTTGATAGATGAGGAAAGTAATCACAGAGAATGGCTTGATGTCCAATAATAATAATTGAGCTGATAGAAGGAGAGCGGACTTCTGACTTAAACCCAGCATTTTGACTCCTCTTTTACAATGCCTCCCCTGGTCTTTCTCACTCAATCTTTGTTTGACTCTCCCAGTGGCAAGGAACACATGGATCAAACCTTCGAAGTCCAATCAGATGAGTCAGTGCCTCAATTCAAGAGACAAGGAGATGGCACACTTTTCACTAGGGAAGACTGGGTGAGGACGGTTTCTGACCAAGAATAGGTGACTCACATGTCTGTCACATGTAAGATCAGGTGAGACTGAGATCAAGCGGATCCCAGTTCAGGACCAGGCTGTGTGTGAAATCCCAGGGAGCTGGAAGGGTGGGCAAGTGCCTGTCATCTCAGCTACAGTTGGAAGCACAAATGGGAGATTGGTGGTGTAGGCCGGGCAAAATTCAAGACCTTATCCTAAAAATAATGGAAGAAAAACTAACATCACTTTTTAAAAATGACTAGAAGAGCTTAGTGAGAGGTCTTTCATTATATGATTTGCAGGTCTTTTCTTTTTTCTTCTTTCCTTTTTGCTTTGCTTTACTCCTTTCTGCCACTGTTTTTGATTTCTGTACGCTTTGTCTTGTATGTACGTTTATCTGACTTGGACAGGGGAAAGAATAGCACAGAAATGGTAGAATAAAGGGTGAACCAATTCAGCAGTGATACTCACTAGACACTATGTTACAAATGAACTATACATCTGTGGGAGGGGGGAGGGAAGTTAGGAAGGTAAAACCTAGGAGAAAATGAGGGAAGGGGTAACATCATTCAAAAGGAAATGTACTGATTACCTGAATCACGTAACAGTAACATTTAAAAATAGTAATTAAAAAAAAGAAAAAGAAAAAAATAGACTTAGTATTCCTTCCTAACTAGGATAAAGCCATGAATCCCAGTACTGCCAAAAAAAGAAAAGAAAAAAAAACAAAAGTCAGCATTAAAAGTTTTGTTACTAAATGGCAAGTCAGTTACTAGGTGCTATGATTTTAATATCTAAAAAGAAACTCCAACTTATGGTGTAGCAATTATCAATTACCAATCATATAGACATTTACAAACCACACTCATATGCACATGTCACAGAGACTGAACAATGAATGGGACTTCATTGGGACTTTTTCCTCATCTGCCAGTTTTGTCTAACTTTGCTTATCTGTGCTTCTGTTGTATGACTTTACCCAATAGATCACAGGAAAATTCTATGTACAACCAACAGACAAACAGCACCCACTGTGTACATTAGCAAAAATCAGGGATAAGCCAACACTGTCATTTGTGCAGTGTACAGTCTTCTGTCTATAGCAAATGCAGTGCTTAGCAACGCGTGTCCAGACTCCTACTGTATTTCACTTCTAAGAGTATAGAACCACATTGCATTTCCTTCTGCCTCATTTTCTTGGGTTCTCCTTATGATTTTTGCTCTGTGCATTTTTGTTTCTCTGAATATTGATCTTAGCATGTGAACTCTTAGAGTGAATGGTGAAATCTTTCACTTGACTCCACAGTGTTATCTAATACAGTTATATAATACTTCAGTCCTGAGGAAATGAACCCACCCATCTATTCTCATAAAGCTGATGTTTAAATAGGAGTAACTCTGAAGTCTTAAATAATTTACTCACATGGATCACAGGATCAGCTCTTTGTTAACTTCCATACCCATGCTAGCTCAAGTCTGACTCAAACGAAAGGCAAACTCAACATTTCTGATGGGACAATTACTGGAGTATCGCTCATATTCATTCCCAACTTTCTACTGCATGCCTAGGAAGGATTTTACTGAGCCATCTATAAATAGAACCCAAAAGAAGATTATCAGGACATGAAAGGGCTGGTTCATTGTCTAGTTAGCTCATCAGAGATCCGTGAAGTGTGTCTTTAGGGTATTGGTTTGTGAGATCTATGTAGCTCTCCCACAGAAAATCCAGTTGGCTGAATCAGAGATCTGCTGAATAATTGTTCTGCGGTTCAACCATTATACCAGGTGCCTTATTTTGTAAGGTTACTTCAGATTATTTTCCCAAAGTAGAGACAGAATGTCCTGAATTACCCATTGTTTGGATCATTCTCACATGAGACAAAGAGCATAGTTGTGAAAAGACTGGCCAAATCTGTGGGTGAGTAGATATTTTTCTGGGGCTGAGCCAACAAACTAATCAAGTAGGAACCAAACCCAAGATTTGTGTCTCATAAAAACCAGCCTGTAATCATGTTTCTCAAATTTTTCCATGAAAGAAAAATAACTTCACAAAATAGAAGTTATTCTTAACCCACACTCCTGGGGAAATCTGAGGATAGGACCTAAAGGATTAGGTCTAAATACAAACTAGTCCACGGCCTTAGGATTTCTTTCTTTAAAATGTGTGCGAGCCTTGGATTTTGTTGTGCTACGTTACAAAGTAATTATCACACTGTGAAAATCATGCTTTGAACTGCTTATAGGTGAAGTTACTTGCTATCTCTTATTCCCCTTCCAAGCTATGGCGTTTAATTAATGGAATAATGTTTAACCTGTGGCTTTTCATAACTCCTGACTGTTAACTACTATTATGAACTCAGTTACTGAGAGGTAAAAATGAGACACATAAAAAATGAACTTCAAGCCAGGTGCTGGCCTGTAATCCTAGCTACTCAAGAGGCTGAGATCTGAAGATAGTAGTTCAAAGCCAACCCAGGCAGGAAATTCTGTGAGACTCTTATCTTCAATTAACCACAAAAAGTTGGAAGTAGAGTTGCAGCTTAAGTGGTAGAATGCTAGCTTTGAGCAAAAAGAGCTCAGGGACGGCATCCAGGCCTGAGTTCAAGCTTTATTACTGGCACATACACTCACAAAAGAGCAACTTCCAAAAACAGCTTGGAAGCCTGATGACAGACAAAAAAAATGAACTTTAAGAAAGTACAGGAGCTGGTTCATGCTTGTAATGATAGCTACTCAGAAAGCTGAGATATGAGGACTGAGGTTCAAAACCAGTGTGGGCAGAAAAGTTAGTGAGTCTCTTTGTCTAATTAACTACCAGAGAGCTGGGAATGAAAGCAAGGCTCAAGTGGCAGAATGCCAACCTGAGCAGAGAAGTTGAGTAAGTGTAAGGCCTTAAGTCCAAGCCCCACAAATACAAGAAGGTTATATGATGCTCAAAATATAAGATATAGATAGCTTTATTGAAGCAGAAGCAGTGGCATTAGATTTCAAAGACTATAGGTATCTGTTAAAATGACTGCTTCTTTGCCTCAATTAAAATAAATGTCTTTGTCTTTGTCAAGTTATGTTAACTAAAAAGC